AAATACAACTTTCCTCTAGTTCCTAAAGGTTTCCTCCCCGCTCCCACTACCATGACTCGAATTCTATCTTGCAAGACTGGCTAGACCAGAGGAGGTACACTGGTACAGATAGGAACTGAAAATACAGGGAATCCAGGACGGATGAACCCTATAGGACCAGTGGTGAGAGTGGCGAAACAGGGAGGGTAAAGGGAGAATGGGTAGGAAAGAGGGAACCGATTACATGGAACTGTGTGTGACCTCCTCCCTGGGGGACAGACAACCGAAAAGTGGATGAACGGAGATGTCGGACAGGGCAAGATATGACAAAATACCCATTTATAAACTATCGAGGGCTCATGCGGGAGGGGGGAGCGGGGAGGGAGGGGAAAAATGAGGACCTAATGTCAGGGGTTTAAATGGAGAGAAAATGTTTTGAGAAACGATGTACAAATGCGCTTTACACAATTGATGTGTGTATGGATTGGGATAACAGTTGTATGAGCCCCTAATAAAATGTTAAAAAAGAGAAGAAAAAAAAAGGATCCCTGGTGGCTCAGTGGTTAAGACATTTGCCTGTTAACCACAAGGTAAGCGGTTCGCGTTCACCACCTGCTCCCTGAGAGGAGGGGTGACGATCTGCAGGTGTCACGTGTGTCACCACGGAAAGCCCACTGATAAGGCCACGCGGAGTTAGAATTCACTTGATGGCAGGGTTGGTTTTGGGTTAGAGTCTACTCAACAGAGGGCCAAACCAAAAGCCAAACTCTGCCAGCTCATCAGTTCTGAGTCCTAGGGGACAGAGGACAGCTGCCCTTCTAGGATTCTGAGGGTGGACATCTTTACAGTAGAAAGCCACCTCCTCCCTGGGGGATGGACAACAGAAAAGTGGGTGAAAGGAGACATCGGACAGGGCAAGATATGAAAAATAATAATTTATAAATTATCTAGGGTTCGTGAGGGAGTGGGGAGCAGGGAGGGAGGGGGCAGAAATGAGGACCTGATGCCAGGAGCCTAAGTGGAGAGCAAATGTTTTGAGGATGAGAGCAATGAATGTACAAATGTGCTTTACACAACTGGTGTATGCATGGATTGTGATAAGTTATATGAGCCCCTAATAAAACGATTTAAAAAATTATAATTTATCAAGGGTTCATGAGGGTGGGAGGGTGGGGAAGGGTGGGAAAACAATGAGGAGTTGATACCAAGGGCTCAAAATAGAAAGAAAATGTTTTGACAAGGATGATGGTGAAAAGGATGAAGGCAGCATATATACAAGAGTGCTTGACCCAATGGATGTGTGGATTGTGAGAAGAGCTGTAAGGGCTCCAATAAAATGATTTTAACAAAGAAGACTCAGGCATCAGAGAACAAAAAGTCACATCATTGTGAATGAGGGGGTGCAGAGTGGGGAACCAAGGCCCATCTGTAGGCCACTGGACACCCCCTTACAGAAGGGTCTCGGGGAGGAGACGAGCCAGTCAGGTGCGGTGTAGCAATGATGAAATATACACTGTTCCTCTAGTTCCTAAATGCTTTCCCCCTCCCCTATCATGATCCCAATTCCACCTTACAAGTCTGGCTAGACCAGAGGATGTACACTGGTACAGATAGGATGTAGAAACACAGGAAATCCAGGTCAGATGATCCCCTCAGGACCAGTGCTAAGAGTTGCAATACCGGAAGGGTGGAGTGAAGGTGGGGTAGAAAGGGGGAATCAATTACAAGGATCTACATATAACTTTCTCCCTGGGGGACGGACAACAGAAAAGTGGGTGAAGGGAGACTTCGGACAGTGTAAGATGACAAAATAATAATTTATAAATTATCAAGTGTTCACCGGGGAGCGGGGAGGGAAGAGAAAAAAATGAGGAGCTGATACCAAGGGCTCAAGCAGAAAGCAAATGTTTTGAGAATGATGATGGCAACAAATGTACAAATGTGCTTGACACAATGTATGTATAGATTATCATAAGAGTTGTACAAGACCCCAATAAATTGATTTTTTTTAAAGAATGGAATCACAGATTTGACAAATGTATTAAGTGTAATGGCTAGTACTTTGAAGGTGATAAGTTGTTTTGTAAAAAAAATTTTTTTAAATACATAACTTTGGGGGGAAAAAAGAAAAAATGTTTTGAAACTGATTGTGGTAGCGATTGTACAATATTGCTTGATGTGATTGAACTATGGAATGTTATGATATCTGTGAGAGCTCCCAATAAAATGATTTTTAAAATTGATAAAAAGAAGAATCCCAGGGGTCAGCAGGTTTGATGTCACACGGGCCAGTGACACAGTAACCTGTGATTTCCCAGGCTCAGTCTGCAGAGGGTCTTTACAGCTACAAAGTTTCTGGGGAGCAAGCCTTCAAGTCTCCCTGAATAAACTAGATGTAGGCACCAGGAGCCAGAGCCAATGGGAAAGGGCAGATGGTTTGAGTTTCACAGGGGGGCGGGGGCGGGGTGGGGGGCACTGCACACATCCTCCATGTGGGATAGTTATATAGTTTCATAACTACTTGATTTATAAAAGTGTAGGGGTGGAGTTAAACTCCTGTCAATCAGGTCACAGCCTGATGGTGCCTCCTTATGGGTGTGGCCTTCTTATAAGGAGAGAGCTGGAAACCACCTCCACCACCACCCCTCTCTGCCTTCACCTTCCTGTTGATAAGCCAGCCAGACCTGCCAGGGCCACCGCTATTGGATCTATATGACTTTGCCCCCACTGACCTGTGATCATTCTGCATCATTGCATGTGGCAGTTTGTGTCTGGAGAGGGACTTCTGGGTTAGTATTGGACCTCTGGACTAGTATCAGATTTATGGACTTGATCTGGACTGGGCTGTATTCCTGATATATAATTACTTCTCGATAATACAGGTCTCTCTTACACATAATATGAGTGTCAGCAAATTCTACCTTGCAAGTCTGGCGAGACCAGAGGATGTACACTGGTACAGATAGGAACTGGAAATCCAGGGAATCCAGGGTGGATGATCCCATCAGGACTAGTGGTGTGAGTGGCGATACAGGGAGGGTAGAGGGAGAGTGGGTAGGAAAGAGGGAAACGATTATAAGGAACTCTATGTGACCTCCTCCCTGGGGGACGGACAACCGAAAAGTGGGTGAAGGGAGACGT